GGACTGGGCGGGGACCGCGCCGGGACTGGGCGGGGACTGCGTCCGGACTGGGCGGGGACTGCACCGGGACTGGGCGGGGACTGTGTCCGGACTGGGCGGGGACTGGGCGGGGACTGCGTCCTCCGGACTGGGCGGGGACTGCGTCGGGACTGGGCGGGGCCTGTGCCGGGACTGGCCAGGGACTGCGTCGGGATGGGCAGGGGCGACTGGGCGGGCACTGCCTGTCGTGGGAAAATCTGGGTTTGACGGATCAACACTGTCAGTGTGTCTGAACCGAAGGGGCCTGTGAAGGCTCCATCCCAGGGCACAGCGGCCCCCCATGGAGCAGAAGGTGGGAGAGTAAAGCAAGAGACAGGAAAGCAGGGTATGAGGAGGCGAATCCAGTGAGACTGCCTTGTGGGCCCAGAGAGAACAGCGCTCGCTCCGAAGAGAGAAGAGGCCTCGTTAAACTCCGAATCCAGCTGAGTGGAACAGAGAGGCCGGTGCCAACAGGGACAGTGCACTCGTACTTGTGACGGTCCTGCAGCTGAGACACGCGGGCGGGCGGGCGAGCGAGCAGGCGCCCTTCCAGGGCTGGCAAGGGCATCGGGGCGGCCGGAGCCGCGGGGTCTTGGGCCCGTGCCCACGCCTGGCTTGGAGCCTCGTGCGGCCGTGTGTCTCCCAGCCCCTCGAGGTGTCTGTCCTCTGGCCCCCAGCTTCCTTTCTGAGTTAAGCGTCGCCTGGTGCAGACATGCTTGTCAGAGATGGACAGACAGATTTTACACATTTTTGGAAAGCTCAGTGGTCGTCCAGTCGCATCCAGGGCCTCATGGCAGAGCCTCCTCCTTTGGGGTGGACGTCAGGGTGTCCCGGGGACTCTGGGGGCCTCTGACAGGTGGCATGCTCTCATGCCGCCATAGAGTCTGATGGCACTTGCTGTGTCCTGTCCCATGTGACCCTGGGCTTCCCGTGAGCCAGTGTCCCTGCGTCCCCACAAGACCCGCCACAGGGTTGAAAGGCAGGACCTTCCCCTGCAGTCACTCTGCTCTTGGGGTGGCACTGTACCCCAGCTGGACTCCAGCGCCAGGGCCACCTGCCGCAGGGCCGGGACACGCGAGGTGGCCTCGGACAGGCCTGAGGTCTGGCGCTCAGCATGCTCCTGGGCACCTGGAAGGACATGGGGACCCACCCTGAGACCTGCAGACACAGCCGCCTGGCAGAAACCCCAGGGGTGAGGACACGCTTGCTCACATCTTGGGCCCAGGGGTTGGGGTGACGGGCCCCACAGCAGAGGCGGTGGGGAAGGGGCAGGGGTCTCTCCGTTGCCCCGCGGAGAGCCCTGCTCACTCAGGTGCTCGCGTTCCGCAGTGGTTTCCAGGACGCACAGACTGACCGTCACCGGTGGGAGCGAACCTCCGATTCCGAGCACAGGCTCGAAGACCAACAGCCTCGTATTCAGTCTCCTGTCCATGGTTTCCTCATATTTTGAATGGATTCCCTGAGGGCTTGGCCCAGAGGAAACAACCCCGTCTAACTGGGTTTCTCGAGTTTTAAACTGAGACACTGCCCCTCACAGAAGCTAACTCCTGTCCAGTTGTGGTGAGGGGAACGGGTGAGCCTTCCTTGTTCAGTGGTGGGACCTCCCCACCCCTGGGGCAAGGCGACCATCCTAGCATCGAGAAGGAGCCGGGGCGCCCAGGAGCCGGGGTGCCAGGAACCAGGACGCCCACCCAGCCAGTCACTGGGTTGTGGCCTCTGTGGAGACTTCCAGACTCCATGATGGGAAGCAAGTTCTTGCAGGATCGTCTGAGCCCTGGTGGGCTGTTTTGTGGGGTGTGGGCATCAGTGGGTAGTATGGTGGGTGGTCTGGTGGGGTGGGGGCTTCAGTGGTCTGGTGGGGTGGGGGCTTCGGTGGGGGGCATAGTGGGCAGTTCCATGGGTTGGGGGTGTCAGGGGCTTGGAGGTGCTCCTGTGAGGAGGGAGCATGGGGGCATCGGTGGAGGCAGGGTGGGGTCCCATAGCACAGGGCTGTTGGGGGGGGTAGGATGGGTGGTTCCATAGACGGGGCGTCGATGGGGAGCAGGGCTGGGTCTGGCCAGATGGTTCTCCTGGGGCCTTATGCTCAGCTGTGAATGAAACCTTTGGAAGCATGGCTGTCCCTGAAGACATTGTTTCAGGGCTTACAGATGTTGAGTCATTTAGTGGAGGCGGGCAGCAAGCTAGATTAGTGCCCGCTGACTTTTCTGTTTCTGAGTGAGCGAGTGGACATGAAGGCAGTCAGCGTTTGAGAGCAGGACATTTTAGTTAACATACGTTTTGTGGAGAAGGAGGCCGGAATCAGACGGGGAGCCTAGAAGAGGTTTGCTCCGTTTCACACATCTGTGCAGAAATGGTGGCGGAGTCGGGGGAAGCCCTTTCAGCAACCAGGAGTGTTGGGTTTCTGGCCAGCAGCAGCCACCGACCCTCTGACGGGCCTCTGCCTCCAGCCTGGGTGGGGTGGTGTCCTCCTTCTTCCACACAGCGTGGCCATGGGGACACAGCCCTTCCTGGAGATGCTGGGCTGGCTCCCGTCTCTCCTGCCGCCCCCAGGCCGCCTCCTGCCTGGCCCCCCCATCCTGGAGCTGTTGTGAACAGGGGAGGCTCATAATTGTAAAGTCCCCTTGTGAGTCATGTCCCAAGAATTAGTCAGTGACAACTGTATTTAATATTGCAGTCCCTTGGATGGTGTTATGGATTGACTTGTGTTCCCCTAAAATGTGTGTCAATTGGCTAAGCCATGATTCCCAGTATTGTGTGATTGTTCTCCATTTCATGATCTGATGTGATTAGCCTATGTGTTGTAAATCCTAATCTCTATAATGTTAATGAAGCAAGATTAGGTCATGTTAAAGAGAATTAGGGTGGGATGCAACACCCTTACTCAGATCACAGCCCTGATCCCATGTAGGGAGAGTTTCCTTGGGGTGTGGCCTGCATCACCTTTTATCTTACAAGAGATAGAGAGAGAATCGAGTAGAGAGACAGGGGGACCTCATACCACCAAGAAAGAAGTGCCAAGAGCAGAGTGCGTCCTTTGGACTCAGGGTCCCTGTGCTGAGAAGCTCCTAGACCAAGGGAAGATTGATGATAAGGACCTTCCCCCAGAATTGACACAAGCCTTTCCTGGGAACTGGAGCCCTGAATTTGGACTTCTAGCCTCCTAGACTGTGAGAGAATAAATGTCTATTTGTTCTGTTAGAGCAGCATTAGATAACTAAGATGGTTAAAAACTTTCAGTCATGTAATCTAAGGAAAAAAGTACACGACATGTCTGGTGTCTCACATCTCAGCAGCGTGCAGATGGCTCAGGACAGTGGCTGAGCGTGCAGGACGGGTCATTATGGTGCTGACGCCGCCCAGCAGCTGCCCCGTCATGCCCCCTCCGTGCCGACGAGGGCCCAGCCGGCGGGTGCGTGGGCACGGGAGCCGGCGGTGCAGGATCCACAGCGGGGGAGCGAGCACAGTCAGGGGCTGCCGTGCATGCGGTGGGGCTGTTGGGCAGAGGGTGTGTGGGCCCCGTCCACGCGTCTGAGTCGCTGACCGCTCTGTCCTTCTTGCAGCAGTCCTGCGCCAACTGTGGCCGGGAGGCCCTGAGCGAGTGCACCGGCTGCCACAAGGTCAACTACTGCTCCACCTTCTGCCAGCGCAAGGTAGTGTCTGCTGTCCGCAGAGGGCACCACGTGGCTGGCCACCGCGTCCCGGGGGCTGCTTCCTCCTCCTCGCTGACCCCTCTCCACCCCGCCCCAGGGCGTGCCCGGCAGCTGCTCCCCCAGGGTGCGGGCTGCAGGGTGCGGGCACCCAGGTGTGCTGTGCGCCTGTGTGTGACGCGCCTCCCTGCTGTATGCCGTGGGGGCCGCACGCTGAAGCATTTGGGGGTGGGGGCCGCCCCCTCGGCCTAGCTCTCGTGGGTCTTCTCCAGATCTGAGAACATCAGGGGCAGTTGCTCACGTAGTTCCCTCTTGCCAGTATTCGGCTGTTGGTTTTAAGGAAATTGAAGAGAATATTTTCTGGAGCAGCAACTGCGAGTTGACATTGTTCAACGTCTCCCACCCTGAGTCAGAGAGCTTCAGGGCGTTCGTTCTTATTATTATTATTAGTTACTAAAGATGAATGTGGATCTGGATTTGGCCGGGACGCCCCGGAAGCACCCTGTGGCGCGGTTGGAGCTTTGCGCTTCATTTTCTGTGTGGCGGCGGGAGTGCTGCCCCTGGGTGTCAGAGGCGGCTGCGGAGGCGAGCAGATGCGTGGGCTCCTCCATGGTGTCCGTCCCCCACTGCTGCGCTGATGTGGCGGCTCTGCATGCGTGGTGTTCCCGCGCAGTCATGTCTGCAGAGGTAGGAAGGCAGCTCCCTGAGCAGAGCCGCGTGACTTGTCTCCGTGCTGGGTGATGTGAGGAGACAGCGTTACATCTGCAGAGGACTGCGGCCACATGGGTGGAGGGGCTGCAGGCCACGTGCCTCTGGTTTCTCCACGTGATGACAGCAGTCGATCTGAAGGATGCTCACATTCTAAAAGACACCTGTGTACCTTGTCCTTTGCCATCCAGCATAACTGCGAAGGGGCGGTGCTAGGAGAGAGGGAGGTGCCCGTGGGATGCCTGGCCCTTGAGGCACCAAAGGGCCTGTCCTCAGCCCTCTGTCCCCTTCAGGGTCCGGCCACCAGAGAGCAGACCTGGGGAGCCCGCTCCTTTCCATGGACAGTAAGATCCTCGAGGTGGCCCAGTGGGCTCATCTCTGCTCAGCGGGGGTGTCACTCTGAGCAGTAGGCACGTGGGTGCATGGGCCGCCCTCCACCTCTGTGTCTCTCTGACACTTATCGTCGTTAGAGGAAGGGGACCCGCTGGGTGGGTGCACCAGTGAAAAGATGGGCCCATTCATATTTCAGCCGGGCCTCCCCTCGGCCGGGGGCACCCCTCTCAGGGGCTCACGGACCACTGTTCCACTCTCCACGGAAACTCATGAGGACGGGGGTGTGCGGGGAAGGAAGGATCCACCTCGGGTAGTTTGGGTCGTCCCACAGGGGTCTGTGGGTGCTCAGGGGGTGCTGTTAGAAGGCGGCAATGAGGAGACAATGGTCCATGCACACTGCAGGGCGCCCTGGACACCTGGTCCTGTCTGGGGTCCCCGAGGGTGGCAGGGTGGTCAGTGGTGCCCCGAGGCTCGCAGCCTGAGACTTGGTCCCTTGTCCCTTGTCCTGCCCCTGCTAAGTGCTTTTGGGAGAGCAAGCTTAGTTCCCCTGGGTCTTATGTAAGCTCTCACCAACCCCCAGGGTCGTGGAGGTCAGGAAAGAACTGGCAGTCTTTTTCCCCTGGAATCTCACCAACAAGCTTTTGCACTGAGGAGAAGGACACCCAGCTTGTTCAGCTCCGTGTGAGACGCTCCCACCATTGCCTCATGGGAGAAGCTAAGTGCATGGGCACCGCTGGGAGGCCAACAGGGCTTTGCGCTGTGGTCCACAGCTGAACAGGGAGTGCTAGTTTGTAAACCTTCCCCAAATTTGAACATCACATGGAAGATTCATGGGCTTCTCTCTTTGTCTTATTTTTTATAAATATTTTACTTTGTTGTTGTTGAGAATGCACAGCAAAAGCATACTCCAATCCAAGTTTCTACGTGTACATTTCAGTGACATTGATTACATTCTTCGAGTTGTGCAAACATTCTCACCCTTCTTTTTCAGAATTGTTCTTTCTCCATTAACATAAACTCACTGCCCCCTAAGGTTCCTATCTAACTTTTTAAATTGCTGTTGTCAATTTGATCCTATAGAAATAGATCTTTAAAAAGTATAATGCTCAAGGCAGACATTCTTTACTAGTTAAACTAAACTATTGTTTGGTTTTAAAAAGACTTCAGGGGATATTTTTGGTTTAACATTTAAAGATTATCTTAGGGCTTATTTCTTTAGGTGAAAGTTTAGAGCACAGATTAGTATCTCATTCAAAAATTTGCATACAAATTGTTTTGTAACATTGGTTGCAATCCCAAAAATGTGTCACCACTCGCCCCCCCTTCCCTTTACACCTTGGGTTCCCTGTGTCCATTCATCCAGTTTTCCTGTCCCTTCCTGCCTTCTCATCTTTGCTTTTGGGCAGGTTTGCCATTAGGTCTCCTATACTTGATTGAACTAAGAAGCACATTCCTCACATGTGTTATTGTTTGTTATATGAATAAACAAAAAAGACAAACTTGTTGCCTTCAAGTTGGACTCACAGAGACCCTATAGGACAGAGTATAACTGCCCCATACAGTTTCCAAGGAGTGCCTGGTGGATTTGAACTGCTGACCTTTTGGTTAGCAGCTGAACTCTTAACCACTACGCCACCAGGGATTCGTTTGCTATATAGGCCTATCTACTCTTTGGCTGAAAGGCAGACTTTGGGATTGGCTTCAGTTCTGTGTTAGCAGACTATCCAGGGGCCAGAGTTTCTGGCATCTCTCCAGCAGGTCTGGTCTTTTTCTGTGATTTTGAATTTTGTTCTACGGTTTTCTCCCACTCTGTCAGGAACCCTTTATTGTGAGTCCTGTCAGAGTGGTCAGTGGTAGTAGCCAGGCACTGTCTATTTCTTCTGGGCTCAGGCTGGTGGAGGCTGTGGTTCATGTGGTCCATTAGTCCTTCGGACTGATATTTTCCTTGCATCTTTGGTTTTCTTCATTCTCCTGTGCTCTGAGCGTGATGGGACCAATAGATGTATTTTAGATGGCTGCTTGCAAGCTTTTAAGACCCCAGACGCTACTCACCAAAGTAGGATGTAGAACATTTTCTTTATGAACTATGTTATGCTGATTGACCTAGATATCCCCCGAGACCATGATCCCAAGCCCTCAGCCCCAGTAGTTCAGTCCCTCAAGGTGTCTGGATGTGTCCAGGAAGCTTCCATGGCTTTGCCTTGGTCGTTATTCATATGTCTACTCATGTGACGGCTCTTATTTATCTAGGATATATCCCTAGGAGTAGGATTGCTGGATTGTGTGGTATTTCTACTTCTAGCTTTTGAAGGAAGCGCCATATTGTTTTCCATAGTGGTTGTACCATTTTATATTCCCACCAGCAGTGCATAAGAGTTCCAATCTCCCCACAACCTCTCCACATTTGTTATTTTCTGGTTTTTTGATTTGTGTCAATAATGTCAGGGTAAGATGGTGTCTCATTGTAGTTTTGATTTGCATTTGTCTCTAATGGCTAATGATCAGGATAATTTCCTCATGTGTCTGTTAGCCACCTGAATGTATTCTTTGGTGAAGTGCCTGTTCATATTCTTTGCCCAGTTTTTGATCAAATTATTTGTCTTTTTGTTATTGAGGTGTTGAAATATTCTCTAGATTTTAGAGATTAGACCCTTTTTGGATATGTTGTAGCCAAAAATTTTTTCCCAGTGTGTAGGTTCTCTTTTTACTCTTTTGGTGAAGTCTTTTGATGAGCGTAAGTGTTTAATTTTCAGGAGTTCCCAGTTATCTAGTTTATCTTCTGGTGTTTGTGCATTGTTAGTTATGGTTTGTGTTGAATTTATGCCATGTATTAGGGCCCCTAGCGTTGTCCATAATTTTTCTTCCATAATCTTTATCATTTTAGGTTTTATACTTAGGTAGGTCTTTGATCCACTTTGAATTAGTTTTTGTGTATGGAGTGTGGTATGGGTCCTGTTTCATTTTTTTTACAGATGGACATCTAGTTTTGCCAGCACCATTTGTTAAAAATACTGTCTTTTCCCCGTTTAATGGACTTTGGTCCTTTGTCAGAGATCATAGGTGGAAGGATTTATATCTGGGTTCTCGATTAGGGCTTATCTCTTGATGGAATAGTTTTTAGCCAGATGACATTTTGTCTGGATGCCAGTTCAGTATTGGGACTTCCATTCATGAACTGGACAGGGTCAGCCTTCAGCTGTAACCTTGTTAACAGAGATTCCATTTTGTACATTGGTCATGTGAAGTCAAATATGATTTCCTTAATGATTTTATGTGCTACTGAAAAGACTTGGAAATTTAGTTGATATTGCTTATCTTTTTAAAGATTGGACAAGGGCTGTAAGTTGGTTTTGGTTATAACTTGCACAAAGTTTATTTTCTTTCCAAATCCTATATGAGGGATGTATATATGTGTATGTTTTATATCTTTATGAGGTATAATTTGCATACTGTAAAATTCATCTCTTTTTTTAAAATTAAAATCTATTTTGTGTGATATCGGTATAGCCACTCCAGCTCCCTTCTGGTTAGTGTTCCATCTTCTGCCATCCTTTTACTTCCAATCTATGTCTGTCTTTGACTCTCAAGTGTGTCCCTTAGAGGCAGCATAGAGTTGGGTCTTGTTTATTTAATCGTGTCTGACAATCTCTGCCTTTTGATTATAGTGTTTCATCCATTTACATTTAATGTAATTGTCCATCTGGATGGCTTTACATTTGTCATTTGCTATTTCTTTTCTATGTCTCATGTCTTTCTGTTCCTCCATTCCTCCTTTACTGACTTCTTTTGTGTAAAATCTAATGTTGGATTTTTTTACTGTATTGAGTTACTTTCTTAGTGGCTGCTCTAGGAATTACAGTATGAATCTTAACTTACCACAGTCTCAGTGGGATGATGCAGAGGGTTTCCCCAGGCAGAGGAAGCTGTGGGGGAGATCTATGGAGGCATATTGCATGGATTGAGAATGTAAATTGCTGGCAAATGGATACTATGTGGACCAAAACTTAAACACTCACTAGAATGTTTTCCTTCCATGTAATAAGACACTCTGTTATCAGAAAAGCTACCTTCCAACTCCAGTGCCTCACCCTGCCCACCGACTTCCGACCCAACTGCCAACCTCCTGGGGCCCTTCCTCAGAAATGCATTTGTGGGTCTGCTCTTCAGCTCATTTTTTTTTCTTTAACCAGAAATCATTCTTTTTCCGAATACATTTGTTGTTGTTGTTGTTAGGTGCCGTCAAGTCAGTTCTGAGTCATAGCAACCCTATGTACAACAGAACAAAACACTGCCCAGTCCTGTGCCTTCTTCACAATCGTTGCTATGCATGAGCCCATTGTTGTAGCCACTGTGACAGTCCATTTTGTCAGGAGTCTTCCTCTTTTTCACTGACCCTCTACCTTACCAAGCATGATGTCCTTCTCCCGGGACTGGCCCCTACTGATAACATGTTCAAAGTACGTGAGACAAAGTCTGGCCATCCTTGCTTCCAACAACCATTCTGGTTGTACTTCTTCCAAGACAGACTTATTCATTCTTCTGGCAGTCCATGGTATATTCAGTGTTCTTTACCAACACCGTAATTCAGAGGCATCAGTTCTTTGGTCTTCCTTATTCATTGTCCAGCTTTCGCATGCATGTGAGACTATTGAAAATATCCTGGCTTGGGTCAGGTGCACCTAAGTTCTCAAAGTGACATCTTTGCTTTTCATCACTTTAAAGAGGTCTTTTGCAGCAGATTTGTCCAGTGCAATGCATGTTTTGATTTCTTGACTGTGGCTTCCATGGGTGTTGATTTTGGACCCAAGTAAAATGAAATCCTTGACAACTTCAATCTTTTCTCGGTTTATCATGATGTTGCTTATTGGACCAGTTATGAGGATTTTTGTTTTCTTTATGTTGAGGTGTAATCCATACTGAAGGCTGTGGTCTTTGATCTTCATCAGTAAGTGCTTCAAGTTCTTTTCACTTTCAGCAGGGAAGCTTGTGTCACGTGCATATCACAGGTTGTTAATGAGTCTTCCTCCAATCCTGATGCTGTGTTCTTCGTCATATAGTCCAGCTTCTCAGATTATTTGCTCAGCATAGAGATTCAATAAGTATGGTGAAAGGATACAACCCTGACTCACACCTTTCCTGATTTTAAACCACATAGTATCCCCTTGTTCTGTTTGAACGACTGCCTCTTGGTCTAGGTGCAGGTTCCACATCAGTACAATCAAGTGTTCTGGAATTCCCATTCTTCACAATGTTGTCCATAATTTGTTATGATCCACACAGTCAAATGCCTTTGCCTAGTCAATAAAACACAGGTAAACATCTTTCTGGTATTACCTGCTTTCAGCCGAGATCCATCTGACATCAGCGATGATATCCCTTGTTCCACGTTCTCTTCTGAACCCGGCTTGAACTTCTGGCAGTTCCCCGTCAGTGTACTGCTGCAACTGATTTTTAATTATCTTCAGCAGAATTTTACTTATGTATAATATTAATGATATTGTTCGATAATTTCTGCGTTCTGTTGGATCGTCTTTCTTTGTAATGGGCACAAATATGGATCTTTTCCAGTTGGTTGGCCAGGTGACTGTCAGATTTATAATTATTCAAAAATACACAAGATAGAAAGTTAAAGTCCCCACATTCCCACTCTTTAGAGATAACAGATAAAATTCAGTGTTTATTCTTACAACAACCTCTTACTTTAAAAAGATAATAACCATTTAAAATTTCTAATTACAAGGGACTTGATATGCACACAAAGGTGTATGAAAGGTATGGAGCCTAAGAATCAGCCCCCCCACTCTCCCCCAGCACCCATCTGAAGACAGCCCGCCTCGCCAGGAACAGCTCCCCGGTGCCCCTCCTTCCTGGGTGGGGCCACCACCAGCAGAAATGTTGTCACCATGCCCTCGGATTCCTTAGTCTCAGTACACAGATTGTGCCTGTCAGGGTCCCATTCCAGGTCTCCTGGCACTTTTCCCAGCTCTGACTGCAGCTGTCCTGCTTGTGGCTCCACTTCCAAGAAGATTCTGGGGGCTTGCTTACTCTCTGCTGTGGGGCTGGGTCTCCACTTGCACCTTTAGCTGTGGGACATCAGTGCACACAGTCTTGGGGAGATGGGCAAGGAAGCCTCTCGCCACCCCCAGCCTCAGTCCTCGTCAGCATCTTGCCTCCTGGTTCGCCCTCCACCACCTGGGGCGAGGCTGGAGCACTTTAGAGGGAGCCCCACCCTACTGTGTGGCTGTCAGCCCTGGCGCTCTGCAGTGGCTCCCTTTTGGGTCTGTGCCCTCTGTCTCTGCAGTATGTGGCCCCAGGCCGCGTCTTTGTCGCGGGCATCACCGCTACTAGCTTTTCCCAAGTTTAGCCAGTTTCCTTTCATTTTTCCAAGGTAAAATACAGATTTCCAGTCCTGGCTTTTCAGATAACATTCAAGATAGAAAAGGTTTTTGTTTCCTTTTTATTCAGAACTTGAGATTTTAAAGTCAGCTGCGAGGGTTTACCTTTGCTTAAAGGACTCAGCCGAGAACCTTCTCAGTTACTCATGGTCAGAGGACACGCTTCCCTCCTCGGCGCCTGGGGAGGGGGCAGCAGACAGTGTGGCCGGGTCCCCAGTGCCCACCTGCTGAGCGGGTGCTCCCTGAGCATGCCCCACCCCGCCACACCCGTGTCACTGCCCATTTCCAACCCCAGAGCAGAGCGGCCCCCGTGGGTGCTGGGAGAGGTGGCGCGGAGCTGACGGGGACTCAGCACAGGCGGCGTCTGAGCCCGCGGGCGTGTGCTTGGATGAGCCCGTGGCACATACGTTGTTGGCGAGGAGTCACACCTCAAGGTTCCGTGTCAGCTGGTTTCCACACAGGAGCTTCATTCCTTGGATATAACCAATGGTTTCAGTTTTTCACTTCCTGTTATGAAGAGAGGCGTGCCCACCGAGGGAAATTTGGGGAACATAGGGCAGTTTGAGGAAGGCAGCCGGCTGAGATTCTGCCTGGGAGTGGCGCTGTGCGGCTTGGGGTGTGCGTTTGTGCAGGTTCTCCGGATGCCCCGCAGGGCACACAGTGTAGCGCCCACCCTCACTTCCGAGCAAGCCTGCAGTGCCCACTGGTTCCGGCTTCCCAGAGGCGGGTCCAAACCCGCGCGAGGCCCTGCCCCGTCTGTAAACAGGCCGGTAGTGTCCTGACCCCTGTGAGACCCCAGGTGGCCTGCCATGTCCCTCGGAGCTGCAACCAGGACCCTTTCTGGGCGGTGCTGGGGCGGCTCCGGCTTTGGTTTGTTTGTTACAAGTGACGCCGCGGGTAACAACGCTGCTCGTAAATAGTTGTCTGCATCTTGGGAATGCCTGGAAGAGAAACAACTCCGTCAAAGGTGTGAATGAACTCGGGGGTCTGCGTTCTTAAGCTTCACCCTCCCTGGTGTGCTGTTGGCTTTTGATTGGGTCCCTTAAACCTGAGTGCTGGATCAGAGACCCCGGGGTCTGGGGTCCAGGCCCTGGGAGAACTGCCTTACGAGCCTCCCCACCTGCCCCAGGCCACAGCTGTGGGGGTTTAGGCTTCGGAGGGGGAGAAGCCTGTGGGTGAAGGATCCCTATCCATGTGGGTCCCCCCGCCCCCTGCCCTGTGGGCGCCCCCCCAACAGTTAGTGTCCTCCTTTTCAGGACTGGAAAGACCACCAGCATGTGTGCGGCCAGTCAGCAGCGGTCACCGTCCAGGCAGACGAGGTCCATGTTGCTGAGAGCGTCATTGAGAAGGTCACCGTGTGAGGGGCTCCCTGGGGACCCCTGATGTTGAGAAAACCACTGGAAGGGTTGCTGCAGGAAACTTGCCGGCCGAGTTGTTAACAGACTTTGAGCAGACCATGCGCTTGCTCGTGAGTCCTTCCTGGACCTGGAGGACATGTGATCATTGTCATCCTGCAGACAGAGAGGGGACAGTGGAGAGGACAGTGGTGGGGACTCGGAGGGGATGGCAGAGGGGATGCAGAGGGGGCAGGGTGGCACGTCCTCCTCACGGTGCTCTTTTCTCCCCGGTGTGCACGTATGAGTGACCGTCAATAAATCTGAGGCCTCCCTGCCCCACCGGACGGTATGCTTGTCCTCAGGACAGCCAGGAGGGGCCGGGGGAGGGTGGTTCTGTTTGTCCTCACTGTGCCGAGGATGCTGTCGCGTGGGGAGTGGCCGGCCCACACAACACTATGTCCCCCTCTGTCGGCCACTCCCGTCATATGATGCCTAGGAGCTGTGTGACCGCCCTGGAGCCACACGGTGTCTGCCTTTGTCTCCATTGGGGCTGGCGGGAGACAGAGACCTGCCTGAGAACTCTGGGCAGTCTGGAGTCGGGCTAACACGGACGAGGCCGAGCTCCAATGATCCGTGGTTCTGTCTGAGCCCCTGGCCAGGTGGATCATCCCAGCCGAGGTGGGATTACAGGGCCCAGCTCACAACTGGGCAGAGACAGGACGTGCGTAGATCTCTGCGCGTGGGCAGCCTGTGCCTGGCGTCCGCATGACAGAGTCCATGTTGTCTCTGGCCTCTCCTGACAAGTGACACCCCAGGGTACCCAGGAGCGGGGGGTGGGAGGGTCACCTTCCAAGGCAGGGAGCGTCTTTGGGAGCCGTGTGGGCAGCTTACTCAGGACTACACCTGTGTCCTGGTCGATTCCAGAGGGGTCTCTGTTAGCACGACGGAGCTGGTGGTCCACGTGTCGGCTGATGCTCAGGACGCGCCCACGTCTGGGTGGCAGCACCCCCGAGACGTCAGAGCAGCCACATCCCGTGTCCGCGTCTCGAAAGGCCATCTCCTGGCCACGAGGCTGTGGAGGACCCATCAAGGTGCCAGCATCTGCCCGCTTGTGGTGACGAGGGCAATGCCCGGCCCTGCCTGCCTCCTCGTCCTCATCCGCCGAGCATCTCAGAGGGTTTCAGTGCAGGATGGTCAGATTTGGAGGGAAAGGGCCTCAGTCCCCACCAGAGCCTGAGGGAGCTGCAGGCTGGGCCACTGTCTCAGTGTTGGGAGGTTGACCAAAGCCCCCTAGGTCTGCCCCTGTGCCCTGGGAACACAGAGCCCCCAGCAGCTCCCGGCTGGAGGTGGGGTCGGGCCGGCCACGGAGGCTCTCAGCAGAGTGTGTGGACTGAGCCTTGGAGGACAGGGCTGGAGAAAATGGGCGCAGCTCTCAGGACTGACCAGGGGGCCAGGGCCGCCTGCAGGGACCCTGCCAGCATGGGATTGGCCCAAGGGCTTCCCCTCCCGGGTCTGGGACTCCTAGTGGGGCTCAGCCATGCTTTCTGGGCCCCGCTGAATACTGGGGCTCCTCTCTGAGGGCCAGGGCCCCACACCCAGTGTCTGCTGCTGCTGTAGGCACACTGCACGGTGAGAAGGCAGCTGTCCCGTGGACGGCTCCTGTGCAGAGGAAGGCAGGCTGAATCCGGGCACCATTCAGCCCCTCCCAAGGATGGGTCCCTCCCTGAAGGGGGTGGGGGCGGTCAGGGAGGTTTCTCGAAGGAGGTGGTGCCTGGGAGCCTGTGAGCAGAATGAGCTGAGCATCCCGAGGCGGGGAAGGTGGCGGTGTGCAGGCCTTTCCGGGGGAATATTTTAATGTTGCACCTGACGATCTCACAGCCCATAATTTGTCAACACTTGGAAGAAAGCCTAGCACCTTGCAACAGCAGAGCGGGGGACCGTGGCCCCATCTCCTGGCAGAGGGCGGGGGTGATAGCCAAGTCTCCCCTCCCGCCCTGGGGTGGGAGGAGCCCAGGGTTGGGCCACCAGTGCAGCCCCCACTTCTGGCCCTGCAGCCTGCTTCTTCCTCCGAAGGTGGGCCTGGCCAGACGGGTAGGCACTGGGTGCGGGTTAGCTGAGTGGGCTGGGCTCCAGCGTGTCTGCTCCCTGGAAGGGGCCACCTCAGGTGGGCCACACCCAGTGCCCCTGACCCTCCTCTGCCTGGGGTTGGGGCACAGCTAGCTGAGAGCTGTCAGGAAGCTGTGTCCTGACCACAGGGCAGCTGACAGTGGCAGGGCAAAGTGGCTCACAGGTTCTGCAGGGCTGGGCCAGGTCCTGATTCCCCATGAAGGGACCAGGCGTTGGCTCGGGGGCCAGGTGGTGACTCCCCGTTTGGGAACTGGCAGCTCTAGGAGATGCCACCCCACAAGGACAGGGCCTCTCCCTGTGGGACATGTTCTCCACCCTCGCTCCCATGTTAGGGGGGTGCCGAGCCCAACAACTGAGGGGCGCAGCTGTAGCCTGAGCTGTGGAGTCCCAGCATAAAACCTGGCCAACGAGGTGGGGGCGACACACTGGCCACCAGGAGAGGCCAGTGAGGTCCTCCCTGCCAGCAGGGACCCCCTCCCTCCCGGGCAGGGGCAGCTCTGGTTCCAGGACTTCTTGGCTGAGCTGGCCCTCCCTGGGTCTCCTCACAGCTTCACGGGCAGCCCGCCCCCACCAAGAGCAGAGTCCACCTCAGCCGCCTCACCCCATCACGAGCCCGCTGTGGGCCTCCTAGGAGGGAGGAAGGGGTTAAAGGCCTGAACAGGGTCAGCCAGCGGCCTGCAGCAAAAGTCCCTCCTCCCCTCCCCCTCCAGGTGGGACGGAGCAGAGCCACGCCCTCCTCCCCACCCCACTCCACTCCCAGGAGCCTTCACGGATGGGTTAGGAAGAACTCTGTTTAATTCGGTACAAAACTGCCCCCTCCACGTGCAGGGGTCTTCCCGCTTCCGGGGGCAGGGCTGGTCCAGGCCAGGTCTGCGCAGGCGCTGGCGGGGGTTGGGGAGGCCGTGGGGGTCCGCTCAGCAGCAGGTGCTCAGGACCTTGCGGAAGACGTTTCGGAACTCGGCGTTGAAGACTGTGTAGATGATGGGGTTGAGGGCGCTGTTGACGTAGCCCAGCCAGGTGACGGCGCTGACCACCCGGGCAGGCACGGCGCAGGCGGGACACAGCGCCCGAGTGATGTGCACCACGAAGAAGGGCGTCCAGCACACCAGGAAGGCCCCTGGGGGGGGGGGCGCCGTCGGCGTGAGCGGTCCCGCCGTGGGGCCCCCCGCCCCCAGGCCTCGCCCGACCGCTCCCCTCTGCCCGCCTCATGGGCACCGGTACCCACCGACCACCACTGGCAGGACCCTCATGGCCTTGCGTTCTCGGCCGGTGATCTTGGCGCGCCGCCTCCTGCGGGCCTGCGGCGGGGCCGGAGGCAGGTCGGGGGACGGGCTGGGGGCGCTGCAGGGATCCTGGGGGCCCGGGGCGTGGCCCGGGGCGCGGCTGGACCGGCGGCCGTGCAGCTTGGCGCGGCGCGCCTCTTCCCAGCGCCGCAGGCCCCGGAACGTGGCCCAGTAGAGCAGCAGCATGAGCGGGCAGGGCAGGAAGAAGGAGCACACGGACGAGTAGACGATGTAGTCGCTGTCCTCCAGGCGGCACTGGGCTGGGTCGCGGCCACGCACGTCGTTGAGGCCGCATAACACCGGCGCGGCCACTGCGGCCGATAGCAACCACGTGGCGCCGATGAGCAGCAGGTGTCTGCGGCCCCGGCTCTGGCTGTTGTAGCTCAGCGGGACGGCCACGGCCACGAACCTGTTGGGGGTGCGGTGAGGGGGGAGGGTGGGAACAGGGGCGAGCGGGGAGGGGGAAGGAGGCCGGCAGGGGGAGGGGCGCGGGAGCATACCCACCTGTCTACGCTGATGGCGCAGAGGTTGAAGATGGAGGCTGTACACAGCATCACATCCATGGCCATGAGCGCGTCGCAGAGGCCGGGGCTCAGCCGCCACACGCCGCCCTGGACCTGGGCCGCAGGCCGCCAGAGAGTCCAGCAACGACAGACAAGAGCCGCTGAGGATTCCCCAGCCGTGGCTCGGCTTGGAGCCTCACAGCCTCCAAGGCAGCAGCCTTTGTTACACCACTTTGGTGGGGGGACTGAGTATGGGAGGAAAAGGGGAGCCAGACCACCCAGAGCCCCTCCCTGGACACACACCCAGACGTGCACCCCTACCCCTGCACCCCAGCTCCCTCTCTCTGTTGGTAGAAAGTGAGAAAGGCCTGGGGGAACCCTAGGAGGAGCAAAAGAGGGGGTTAGCCCCTCCAGGACGCTCTGACCTCTGCTGACCCAGAGCTCATGGTGCAGAAGGGCCACCTGGGTGGGGCCGGGGAGCCCCAGCCCGGGCAGGTGGGGACTCTGGCCAGCCCTGGAGCCCAAGGTTGGCCACCCCAGTTTCCTTCCCTGAGTGGTGCTAAGTGTCAGACTGTCTGGCTAACTCAGTTGTGGTTTTGGGACTTGGGACAAATTCCTTCACTTCTGTTTCCTTATCTGTAAAACGAGGGTGATGGGAGGATCCACCTCATAAACTGTCCCGAGGATAATGAGTTAAACAATGCGAAGAGCTCAGCACAGGGCCAGGCCTGGGATCACGCGTGGGGGGCCTGTTGCCCCCAAGGACAAAGGAACAGTCAGTCATCTCCCCTTCTAAATCCCCTTTCCATGATTTGGGACGATTAGGAGCTTAAGTCATTACGGTGACGTCTGTGCGTGGCTGGGGGAGGGCAGGTCACGTGCGTCCTTGTTCTGCTGCTCTCTGCCCCAGCCCTGGCCTGGAATGGTGGTGTCCGCCTGAGAGAAACCAGCTCCCCCCGCCGACAGCCAGGACGGCACGACCCCATCCCACCCTTATGCTTCTTTTCTCTGCCCAAACTCAGAGCAGAGGGAGGCTGGCACCAAGGTAGATCCATGCACAGGCCAGACCTATCTGGGGGTGGAGGCTCCTGAGCCCCAGGGTTCCCAGCAGGGGCCCTGACCCATCCTGCCCCGCCCCTCCCCTCAATTCTGGTGCCCTGCCCAGACCTCCCCTCCCTCTGCTGCAGCCACCAGGAGTCCCCCATGCTGAGGGCTGAGTCCTTCTGTGGTGTGTGCTTATGTGTGCATGTTCGCGGACGGGCCTGACTGTGGCCGAGGTACAGTGGTGTGTGTGTGTGTGTGTGTGTGTGTGCGTGCGCCCAGGGGAAGCCAAGGCCCCGGGGCTAAGCCTGCATCTGTCTGTCCCGCAGCTGGCTCCCATGGAGAGCTGAATCCAGCTGGGAATGTGGAGGGGGTGGTGCTGGACTGACAAAGTCGCCTGTTTCTAGAGTCCCTGGCTGGAAGGACTGAAGCTTTTCTGGGGTAGCAGACGCTGAGGCAGAGAGGGAGGAGAGAAGAGGGACGGGAAGAGGGAGGTGGGGACCGACAGCCAAGCGAGCGCAGGGTCCTTGTAGCCGCCCCAGCCCAAGGTCCCTGAGAAGCCGAAGGGCTTCTCTCTGGCCCTCGGCGCGCAGATGGAGCGGCGTAGACCGGCCCCGCGACGAGGGCGCAGTGGCGGGCGCGGGCTCACCTCGGAGTAGACGAAGAGCGGCAACACGAGCAGAGCGAGTAGGAGGTCGGCGGCCGCCAGGCTCACGATGAAGTAGTTGGTGGGCGTCTGCAGAGCGCGCTCGGCCGCCACGCTCACGCACACGAGTGAGTTCCCCGCGAGCACTGCGCCGATGAGCAGCACGCCCCCCGCCAGCGCAGCCGCGCCCGGTCCCGCCAGCCCCGTCGCCGCCCCTGAGGGCCCCGCGTCCGGTCCGCGCCCCGCCAGCAGCCCGGCCGCGTCTGCAGCGCTGCGGTTCCCCATGGCGCGCAGACCCCATGCGCCCCGGCGGGAGCTCAGCACCTCGGATAGCGCCGGCCGGGGCCGACTTGCCAGAGCGCCAGCCCTCGTCCGACGCCGGCCCGGAGAGCCCCGCCCCGAGATAAGCCCCGCCTCGGTCCCGCAGGACGCCCCGCCCCCCGGTAAGCCCCGCCCCACCTCAGGACGCCACACCTCCGGGTAAGCCCCGCCCCGCCCCGGTCCCCCCCACCCCGTCCTGATCCCTGCCCAGTTCCCCAGCCGGGCAGCGTCTGGTACGTCCCTGTACTTGCCCGTCTTTGACTTTTGGGATCGGGGTGACCCGCGGGTGGACGACGGTGCAAAGAGATGCAAATGATTCGAACGGACGCGCACGGCGGGCCCCGCCTCGCCCCGAGCCGCGCAGGGTGGTGGGACGCGCGGGAGAGAGGACCTGACGCCTAGACCCAAAGCGCAGGCCCCTTTATTTGCCCGGGCGGGGTCCCTCCCGGGGCCGCGCCGCCTCTCCCACCCTGCCCACCCGGCGCCCAGAGACTACCCTGTCCCGGACGGCCCCGTCCACACGGGGGGAGCCCCGAGATGTCCCGAGGGCTGCCCGCCTCCTCCCTCGACCCCGACCGAGGACGACCGGCCCGGCCGTGCGCGCACGCGGCTGCGGCTCCCCAGGCGCCCCCTTCGTCCACCCGACACCCCGCCCGTCCCAACCTCCGCGGTGACCCCACCCTACCCCGTCCGGTGCCGGCACCCCACCCCACCCGCAGCGGTTTCTTGTCATCGGTCCCCGCGACCACTAACCCTCAACCACTCTCCCGCGGCTGCATTGCCAGACCTGCTGCGCGGCATTCGCCAGCCTAGGTCACCGCCCAAGGCGGGTCGGCCCCTCCTCCAGGCCCTCCACCCTCCAGGGCTGGCAGCCAAGTGGTCACCCAAGCGGGCTCCGTCAGCCGATTCAAACCCCCGCTCCCCCACCGCCTGGCCTGCGACTTTGAACAAGTGTGGCACCCCTCTGACCCTCAGTCTCCGCGCCCGTGAAATGTTGCACACTTCACAGAGTATGAAAGTACTCCCCGAGTATTAAATGAGATAATACAAGGAAAGGCCCGCCGTAAGTGCGCAGAGGGCCCTTAGCAATTGCTTTGGGTCTCCATTCTCTTCAGACATGCAGTTTACCTGAGTCTCACCTCCTTCTTCAGAGAGAAAAGGGATGTCCCAGAGCAGAACCCGCTCAGCCTCCGTCCACCAAACCAGGAACTCGCCGGCATCCGCCTGCCCTCCCTCGTTCGCTTTGGGGCACTGGGGGGATTGCCCATCCCTCCTTCCCAAGGCTGAGCCGGGGTCACCCTGGGTCCACCTGCCAATGATTGTTAGAACAACAGCAAGGGACTGCACTACAGAGTGGCCAGGGGTCTATATTATAGAGTGGACAAGGGTTTGCTCCATAGAGTGGACAGGGCCATGCACTATAGTGAGGACAGGAAGTGGCACTATAGAGTGGACAGGGGTTTGCACTATAGAGTGGACAGGAGGCTGCACCATAGAGTGGACAGGAGGCTG